CTGCTCCATCTGATCTTCTTCCTCTACACTAATGTTCTCCCTTCTACATTCATGATTTTTCCCCTTCCTCTAGTTTCCACATGAAAGATAACATGTGACACTTGTCATTCTGAGTCTTATTTCATTTAATCTTATTTCGTTCATTAATCTCCAATTCCAACCATTTTCCTGAAAATTACATAATCCCATCCTGTTTTATGGCTGAATAATACTATGCTGTATACCATGTCTTATTTATCCATTCACCTGTCAACAGGCATGTAGAATGATTTCATATATTGCYATGATAAACATGGGCATGMAGGTATCTCTAAAGTATGTTAACTTTAATTCTTTTGAATATATACCAAGSAGTAGTACAACTATATCAGATGGTAGTTCTATTTTGAATTTTTAAGGAACCTCCAAATTGATTCCCATAGTGACAYTAATATATTTCTACCAATACATATCCTTTTCCCCACATGTACTYACTAGCATCTATTGTTATTTGTATTCCTGATGACTRCCATTCTGACTGGGGTGAGATGAATGAAACTTCCWTGTAGTTTTAATGGCTAAAGATGTTGAACATATTCTCATATAATTATTGACAATTTGCATTTCATCTTTTGAGAAATGTCTGTGGAGTTCATTTAACCATTTATTTAATGGGTTATTTGGGATTTTTGTTGTTTGGTTTTGGTGTTGTTAAGTTTTTTGTGTTCTTTATATATTCTGGATATTAATCCTCTGTTGAAAGAGTAGCAAGCAAAGATTTTCTCCCCTTCTCTTTGTTTCCTTTGTTTGGGAGAATTTTTTAAACTCAATCCTGTCTCATTTAACAATTCTGGCTATTGTTTTCTGAGCTATAGTAGTTTCATTACTTATGCCTATATCCTGAAGGTTTCTCCTGTGTTTTCTTCTACTAGTTTCAAAGTTTTAGTTTTTATGTTTAGGTCTTTGATGCATTTTAATTTTCTTTAATTGAGAGATTGGGCCTAGTTTCATTCTTATGCATATAGATAATTACTTTTCCTAGCATCATGTGTAAAAGAGGYTGACTTTTCTCCAATTGTGTTTTTGGTGACTTTGTCCAGAATCAGGTAACTACAGCTCTGTGTTTTTATTTCTGAGGTATATACTAATTCCTATTATTTTATTTCTAATGTTTTATTTGTTCCTAATTCTCCTTTGCTTATCTATTCTTCTAATAAGATGTATTCTTTCCCATACTCTCTTGGTTATTTCTATTTTTCTCTTCTCTTTGTAAGATTCCTTTAAGTATCTTTTGCAGTGCTCACTTAGTGGTTATAAATTCCTTTAGTTTATGCTTATCTTGGMAGCTTTTGATTTATCCTTCAGTCCTTAAAGATATATTTGCTGGATATAGCAATTTAGKTTGGCAATTAGTTTCATTCAGGGCCTAAAATCAATAATCCAATACTCTGAGATCTTTCAGTATTCTGATGGGATGTCCTTTATAAGTGACTTGGCATTTCTCTCTTACATCTTTGTAAATTCTTTTATTTCTGAATATGGGGACATTTTAACCATAATATAATACGTAGTAGCTCTTTTCTGGCCATGTCTATTTGGAGTTTTAAATGCTTCAACATCTGAAGCATTTCTATTTCCTTCCCAAGAATAAAAAAAAAAAAAAAAAAAAGTTCTGCTCCAATTTCACTATGTCATTGGCCTGTATCTGCATTCCTTCCTCAAGACCTATGGGAGGTACATTTGGTCTGTTAAATTGGTCCCAAAGCTCTTGTCTATTCTGTTCTTAGTTTCTTATTCTTTTATTACTCTCTCAGTGTTCTAGTCCATCCACGCTCTTCAAGACCTGATATTCTTTCTTCTGCTCAATCTAGTCTATTAGTGAGAATTTCCACTGAGTTTCATTGAGGTTTTTATTTCCAAGATTTGTATTTGGTTCCTTTTCAGAATCTCTCTTCATTGAAATGCTTTTTCAATATCCTGTGTTTTCTTCCTAATTTCATTCATCTATTTGTACTTTCTTTAAATTAACTAATCATTGTAACATAAAATTTTTTTAACTCATAGTCTGGCATTGCCTTCACATTGATATCTACATATTTAGTTATTAGGGAGTTGTGAACTTTGGGAGGCATCTTGTTACCTTGTTTTCTTCTGTTACTTGTACTTCTGTCCATGTTGAGGTTTGCATATTTGGGATGAAATTTTCTTTCACTGTATATGAAGGACTTTTTAATGAACTGCTGTKTATGATGTGACCCAGGCTAGATGTATATCTTACCATCGTAGAATCCATASATCATAATCCCTAGCACAGCTCCAATTGGAGAAAAAAACACAACTAACAGCAACAGCTTGAAAAAGAGAGTTAAGAACAAAGATGGAGAAGGGAAGATAGAAAAAGGAATAAGAAGAGAAAGAAAGCAAAATGTTATGGGGTAGATATACAAATGAGAAATTTTAAAAAAGTGAGGGCGAAAATACAATTAACAACAACAAAAAGCCACAAAACCAAATCAATAATGACAAGAAAAAACAACACAGAAAATGGTACAATAAAATAAAGAGCAAACTCAAAAATGACTAAAATTCATCCTAGTCAAGATATTTAAGATGAAGAAACTTCCTTTAGGGTCTTCCAGTTTTAAAATCTGCCAGGTATCTGGAGCATGGCCAATGTTTAAGCCTTCATAGCATATTATCTGAATGACTCTGTGTCAAGGAACAACCAAACTAATCAGTTTTATGTTATTTATTTTTCCCCATTTCCAGATTAATATCCTGCTTAGTAAAAACTGCTAGGCTCAAACTCTGGAGCCTAGCCACACAATTCTCTACTTGCTTTTCCTCAATGCATGCTTAGGTGGTTCTGCAGATTACACAGCAGGTCTGGGAAATTGTGAGTTTTGCTGCATGGAGGGGTGCCAGGCATCTCCATTCTGGCAGCCATCCTTTCCTGAGTCAAACAGTGGCTTCGTATATCCCTCAGGAAGTCTTTGGTCCACAAGGAGCTCTGACTCATGCCCAAGGAAACTCACAATGTCCTTTCCCATCCTTCTTTGGRTGCAACCCTATGCAACTCTGGAATCTCAGAGGTGGGTCTGTATACAGGCAGGTTGCCTAATATCACAGAGAACATGATGTGAGACTCTTGCCCAGTGGACAGTTCCATCTCTAGTGCAGGCAGGAATTCGCACAACTAAGAGTCTTCAGTCTGTGGATGGTTCAGTGGATCCAGTTCTACTCCTGCTGGGGCAATCAGTAGGTCCCAGAGGCCTTTAGCTGGCAGGAATCTCACTGCATATATTATTCAAATGTCTTGGCATTTTCCCCATAGTAATATTTGCTGTGATCTCCAGGGGAGATGAATATGCAGCCAAGCTACAAGTTTAGGCATGACTCCAACAAAATGGTGCCAGCTCTTCACTTATAAGTTGGGATAAATGGAGCACTTTTAAAGCACCAGCCTGCTATGTGGCTTCTTGATCAGCTAATTCCACTGACTTTCTCTTAAGCAATTGATTCTATAACAGTTTTAAAATTTTCTTCTCTATATTTCCCTTTTTGTCAGCCCTTCCCCTATCCTTCCCTGGCACCACAGGTGCAGGTTTGGCTCTGATGAGCACTTTCTTGCTCTTTATTCCAGTAACCAGAATCTCTGAGTCTCTCCAAATCCCTGACTACCCAATAACAAAGTTCAGTGCATTTCCTCAGTCATCCACTTTACTAAGTAGCTGTTTTCTAGCTGTTTTAGTTCTGAACTGAGAAAACCTGAGAAGTACAGTCTGCTTCTGCTTCGCCATCCTGATCTCACCTAATGAGATCTCTAATGAGATCTCTCTTTGCCTACGTTTTATGGCTGCACAGTGAATTAAGAGTACTTGCACAACAAAATTTGGACTGTATCATTTGTCATAGTTTAACTAATGGATTATTAAGGAATGATGCAACAAATGTTTGAGGAGCACTTACCCAGTTAGCATTGCCCTCTCTTGTTTCTGCCATTACAATAAAACACTTCCTTTAGGAACTGACAAATTTTCACCCTAAGGCTCAGAATGAACAGATGTTTCATCCAGCTATAATGAACCAAGCATAATTATACCTGAAGTTGACAGCAGAGCTGCCCACCTGAATCTAGCCTAGAGGAGCTTTTCCAGTTGAATGATACAACCATGAACATAAATTATTTTTAAGCCACTAGGTTTTCCTGTGGAACATCATTGTATTAATATCTGATAGATACATCTGTATGATAGAAATTTTTTAAAACAATTCTAAAATTATGTCACTTAAAATAGGRCCAGCAAACACCAAATATCAAGCAATAAATCCTTCAGAATGAACATACTTTCCATACTTAAGTTATAGAACATTATATTAGAGACATTAAAGAAGATCTAAATATGTAAGTGGAGGAATACAATGTTTACATGGATTATAAAATTCAATATTTCAAAGATGTCAGTTCTTCCCAGATGAATTCATAGGTTCAATAAAACCCTAATCAAAAGCCTAGTAGTGTGGAGTTTGTTTTGTTTGTTTATGGAAACTAACAAACGGATTCCAGAATTCATAGTGAAATGTAATAGGCCCCAAATAGTCAAAACTCATAAGAACTAATATGATGTATTTTCATTGCTTAATATTATAATTTATAAAGTTTATAACAAGTTTTGCTGAAACAGGGATAGAAAAATAGGCCACTGCATTTAGACATCTATAGACACAACTTATGATAAGTGATACTGCAACACAGTAAAGAAAGAACAATTAAAAAAAAAAAGCTTATATAAACTGGTTTCCATATGTGGAAAAAGTTCCTCTTAAGTTTATTGCATATAAAAAGTAACTTTCAGGTAGAATATAAATGTGAAAGTTAAAATGAGAGATCTCTGGAGAGTAACATACTTACATGTGAGAGTAAGTTCCTGACTTTGAAGTAGGAAAACTCTCTCTCTCTCTCTCTCTCTCTCACACACACACACACACACACACACACACACATAAAAGGTATGTTGGGGGTACTTGGTCCTGCAACACATGTACTAAAATTAAAATGACACAGAGATCAGCATGTCCCTACGAAAGGATGACATGCAAATTCTTGAAGCTTTCCATAATATACATAAAAAAATACTAACTATGGAAACATATTAACAAATTGTTTTACATTAAAATCAAGAATATATCCTCAAAAGATGATAAGAATTATTATAAGAACTAAAAGGCAAAACATAAAGTGAGGAACACAATTTGTATTACAAATATCAAAGAATTCAAATCCAGAATTATAAAACACTCTTAAAAATCCATGAAAAAAATTAAAATTTTTTAACAATATGCAAGAAAGTGCTAGAAATAATTAGCCATCAAATAAATGCAACTTTAAAGTGTTTTTTATGCCGTTTTATAATTATACATAGCCATAGCATTCATTGTAACATATTCATGCATGCACATAACAAAATTTGCTCCATTTCATTTCCTAATATTTCCCCTTCTTTCCTCTCCACTCTCTCCCTGAACCCCTTCTACTACTCTACTCTTTACCCTTATATTTATATTTTTAATTGGCAAAATAAATGCAATTCAATGTCACAATATGATACCACTTATATGTAAGAAGGTTTAAGACTGACAATGTAGAGTGCAGACTAGGAGATGGAACCCTCATGCACTATTGGTAGGATCCCAATTAGTACAACATTCTCAAAAACCTGCTTATTCCATTGTTGTAGCTTGGATATGGAATCTTACAAAGCTTCTGTTGAAAACTTGGTTCTGAATGCAGCAATGTATAGAAGTGAAATTTTGAGAAAGAGATTGGATAGTGTGGGCTCTGATCTCTTCAAGGAATTAATACATTGATAGATCTTCCTTTCTTTCTTTCTTTCTGTCTCTGCTTCCTGTCCACCATGAGGTCATATCTTTTTCTCTACCACATATTGTGTGCTATCATAGTCTGCCTTGCCATGGGCGCAGGAAGCAAAAGAGCTTCATCATCTTGGGCTGAAACCTCTAAAACTATGAGCCACAAAAAAACCTTTCCAACTTCAAGTTGTTTGTCTCAGGTATTTTATCATAACAACAAAAAGCTAACACACTATATATACTAAACAAAGCATATCTATGTACTATACCCAGCAGTTCTACCCCTGATTATATATCCGACAGAGTGATATATTATGATCCGACAGAATATATATATTATCATATATGTATATATATATGATAATATATATATTCTCCTTAAAGAAGTATTAAAATTATTTATAGCAGTATTATTCACAATATCCAAATAGTGGAAAGAATTATATTTGGCTTAAAGCTGCCTATATATCTTGATTTCATATGCAGAAAATGTTATCTAACTTTGTATATAAATAATCATGACCAAACAGTCTAACAAGAGTGAAATGTACAAGGCAGGCATGATATGTGTGTATACTCTAGTAATGACTACATGTGATAACATGGATAAGTCTCATGAATACAGTTATAATTCAAAGAGGCTAGATGCAAAAGAATATATACTATTTGATTCCACCTTATGTCATGTTCCAAGACAACACTAAATTCACCTCTAGTGTTAGAAGTCAAGGTATTCACTAATTGGGGAAGGGATGTGTACTTACTTGAAGAAAGTATAGAGGAGGCTTATGCACATTTGCATATAACTTGTGAGATATATATCTTATTTAAAAATACATATACATATATAATGATCTATAAACACATATGTATATAGTGATATATATATATTTTTTTCTTTTTTAGTTTTTTAAATTTTTAAATGTGCTATCAATGTATTATAAYTATATGTAATAGTGGGGTTCATGGTATATGAGTTTTTGGGGGTTGGTTGCTTTTTTCTGTATCAGGGATTAAACCCAGGGGCACTTAAACACTGAGCCACAGCCMCAGCCCTTTTTATACTTTATTTAGAGACATAGTCTTGCTAAGTTTCATAGGGCCTCACTAAGTTGCTGAGGCTGGCTTTGAACWTACCACCCCTCTGCCTCAGCCTCCTGAGCTGCTGGGATTACAAGCATGCACCACTGCACCCAGCCATTGTATATGTTTTTAAATAAGCTAKAGACATGGGATATGGAGAACTCATAAGTGTAATAACTAATGAAGAATATAATGACTCTATTAGTATAAAAAGCAATGAAAATTAATAACAAATAGAAGCTGAATCAAGTGAAGCCTTTGCTATGAATCCTAAACTATATCTAAAACTGAGTAGGGCTATGAAAAGTGAAAACAATTTGGGTTTCACCAGCTAGATGATTGGGACAAACCCAACAAGACAACTTTCTAAGTGCAGGTAGACAAGTTTCTAGCAGAGATGCAAATTTACAAATAAAATGCAAAGTCTCTGCAAATGGAGATGAGATGTAGTCCTTAACAAAAGGTACAGAAAGCCCAGATGGCTGAACACTAGTTTATCAGTCACAACCACATGGCCAGGTCTAGCTGTGCATGTATGAAGAATATGTGGGTATACCATATGCATAGATATGATTTATTTATAGCTTCACTCTATTCTTCCTATTGTCAACTGATAAGAATGGTTAAGAGAAGTTTGTGTTCTGTAGGAAAGTTGATTATTCTATTTTAAAATCACATTTATACTAGAAACCCTTCCTTAGAATTGTATTTTTCTAGCCTTTCACAGTCCTTTAAGAGTACAGTTTTTTCTTCTTTCCCTTTATATTTGGAAACTAATTTTTCATKTTTGCATGCCCAATCAGGTTGAGAAATTTTGTAAGTGCTTAACTAGGTACTGACCATGGGTGCCGTGTGTGAATGGAGTTAAGCAAAATGTCTTGTGTTTAATTCAGTTTACCAAGCATTAGTATTTGTCTCCATATGTTAGATAAAACTTAGCTTATTCTAAATGTAATACTCACCACAGATGATAACATAAACCTTTAAAACTTTTGTTTGTTTTTGAAAATCATATTTCTTTAAAGATCATAAAAATTATAGATCACTATATTTTCTCAAGTAATGTTCTACCTTCTTGCACTGAAGGATAAAAATATCAGAATTGTTCTTATTTATTTCTGACAGCACTTCATCACAGGAACCAGCTCATCAGGAGCTGTTAGTCATCTGAAATTCTACCCTGTTTGCACAGCAACAGGTTAGCCTGTCTCAATTCATTAGCAGTTCATGAATGCAGGAAGAAGATATAAGACTCCTGGGTCAAAAACAAAGGACTTTATTACTAAAGTATGGTAAGAAACATGAGCATCAGCATATTTGTATTGATTCCCTTTGTTGCAAGTCCCATTGAGACGACATGAAAAGGCTAAGAAAGATACCTCTGCATAGAGTGGTTCTTATTAAAGGAGAAGAAACAGTCTTCTGTAATTGCCAGTATGCCTGTGTATCCTTTGCTCTAAAAGAAAACTATCSTTTTACTAGACAATGAGCATGTCTGGTCTTTGTTTTGGAGAAAGACACACCTTTTCAAGGCTTAGATCTACAAACTCAAAAGGTAGCTCAGAATAAAAGAGAAGTTATTGTTCTGTCATAAGATAACATGAAAGACCCATACAGAATAGTCTCCYAAGAGTATAAAGAAAACCTTAATAAATAATTAAATAAACAACAACCATCATTCTGCTAACTCTCAAATTCCTCAAAAAAAAAACCTCCAAATAATAATAGACTTGGAAGACAACTAAATGTGTAAATAGAAATGATTATTTTGTATTTGACAGCATTTTTTTTTGCATTCATTGGGTGACRCCTGAATAATGTACACCAAGCAATTTGCACATGAAATAGAACCTCCTTCAGGATCATGGTGAAAGTTGGATTGCTCTTCACCACTTCTCACTGTGCTTCTCACTGTCCTTCCCCTTCCCCCTCCCCGCTGTGATACAGCAAATTACATGAAGCAATAGGTACTTCACAGAGATTGTAGAATGAAATCAAACAAGCAAAGAATATTTGCTCRATAATATGAGGATAATATTGAATATCTGTGCAAACCATACAACCAACTCTAATCTATGAAAACTCCAGGTTTAAGCATGAATGAGAATCTTGTTGTCTTAACAGAACAATTTTTAGCCTCTATGAAGATGTTGTGTTATAAAGGTAGAGAACTTCTAGAATCAGTCTTTCAAACTGAGCCTAATAGAACTGCCCATTCCCAGGAAGGCTATCTCAYCAACGTAAAGAAAGTGTGGAGTGGTGCTTATATCATTTTTTTCAGGACAGACACCCAAAGATTAAATCATGTTTATATTGCTTAACACTTTGTGGCATTTAGATAACCTCTCAAATTGACAATTTAGTTTTCTGTAAGGTAATATTCATACTATTTAGCTGGCAATGGCAAGGACTCCTCCCAGAGATAAAATACTTCATACCAGAGACCAACACCTAGCAGGTGCTACATTTCCAATTCCCTGGTTTCTCTATTGTTGCACAGATTCTGACAATCCCAACAARCTCTCCTTCTCAGCTATACAGGTAATGAGCTTAAACCTAATGCGCTTATTCTGAGATAGTAACTATTCTGTATCTCATTTTCAATTCCCTTTTCTCCATTCAATTTTTCTTTTCCCCATTTGGCCTGTGTATCCAACCACATTTCATCCAGCTTAGACCCAGAAGCTGCCCCTGTAATTGTCTAACCTCCTCTGGCTCCAAAGCTGAGCTGCCCTTTTTATAATTATCATCATCATCATCATCATCATGTTATTTATTTATTTATTTATTTTACTATCCTCCTATCCTCTCCCCAGGCCTCCCGAATAAACTTCTTTCTAAACTTCATAAAGCAATGGCCCAGATTAAGTTATTGATGTGAATCTTCTTTTTAATTATGCTAATCACAGAAACATTAAGCTCTTCTCAGAGTGCAGCATGGCTCATTCTTTTTAAAAAATGTGATAACCCGGGTTATGTGAAAAGGCTGTAAATGAGGCAGATTAGAGGCWGTTTGATCAGCTTCCTCTATCACCAGGAGATTCGGCTTGAAGTTGTTTTATAAAACGCCTCCTAAATATGGTGAGACTKGTTTTACCCTGGGATTTTATTTCACTCCTTGATTCTCAGAAAAAAAAATGTCTTTAATTCACTGGCATTCAAATGCATGT